CAATTGCCTCTTTCAGGTCCTTTCCATCTCCCCTCTGTACAAACCTGGCTTCAACTGCAGCTGCCAGATTGTGGAGAGTCATGTCAAGATCGGGATTGGGTGATGAACCAGCACAAGACGCAAGTGCTTCTCTGTGGAGTGCAATCACTTCATCAAGGTCCTGCATATCTCCTTGCCGATCAAATTTAGTTCGGAGTGCACATCCTAAATTGTTGAGTGCCATGGTGTGATCCGGATGTGCTGGTGGACGAAGGGCTAAAACCTCTCTGTGAAGGTTGATTGCCTCATCAAGGTCAGTTGCATCTCCTCGGTGCTCAAATCTGGTTAAAATGGCCAACCCCAGATTTCCGAGGGGCATATGATGATCTTGGTGTGGAGAGGGGCACAGAGTCAAGGATTCTTTGTAGAGTGCAATTGCATCATCAAGGTCTTTCTCATGGCCCTTTTGTGAAAATCTTGTGCGGATTGCATCACCCAGATTGTTCAAAGAAATGTGCCGCTGAGGATGAGGTGGATCATGGAGTTGCAGCAATGCTCTGCGCCAATCGATAATCTCATCCAGATCTTTGTCTGACCCCTGCTGTTCAAATCTTGTTTCAACAAGCTTTGCCAAAGTGTTTAAGCAATTTTCATGATCTGGATGAGGTTTTTCACAAAGAGCTAAAATCTGTCTCTCAAGTTTGATAGTCTCGTCAAGATCCTTTTTGTCTCCTTGTTGTTTGAATCTGGTCCATATAACGCGAGCAAGATGGCTGATACAGGTACTGCGAGTTGAATGAAGTGATTCATGCTGAGCAAGGGCATCTTTGTAGAGTTGGATTGCATCATCCAGGTCTTTTGCATCTCCAAATGTTTCAAACCTGTGTTCCATTGCGCCTCCAAGGTTATTAAGAATGACACTTCGGGATGGATGTGGTAGTTCACAAAGTGTTTGGGCGGTCTTGTAGAGGCTAATGGCTTCCTCCAGGTCTGCTGCACTGCTTTGCACTTCAAATCTTTCTTGAAGTACATTTGCGAGATGATTGAGACAAGTAACTCGATTTGACTGAGGCAGCAAATAAATAGCCAATGCCTGTCTGCGAAGATCAATGACCTCATCAAGGTCCTGCACATCCCCTTGGTCTTTGAATCGAGTATAGAGTGCACGTGTTAGGTGTCCAAGACTGCTTTCTTTATTAGCAGATTCCTTGACCAGGGCGTCTCTGTGGAGAGAAATAGCCTTGTCCAGATCTGCAGGATCACTCAACCTGTTGAACCTTGTTTCCATGGCCCACCCCAGATTGTTGAGAGCAACACTGTGATGTGGATGAGAAAGCACCAATCCTTCTCTCTGTAGTCCAATTGCCTCGTCAAGGTCCTTTAGGTCTCCTAGTTTCCCAAATCTGGTTTGGAGTACAACTGCAAGATTGTTGAGAAATGTTCCGGAATTCGGATGGGGTGGTGGATAGAGGGCCAGAGATGCTCTAGCGTGTTCAATCTCTTCCTCGAGGTTATCGGAATCTTCTCCTTTCTCCAGTTCCAACCACTTCACAGATGCATTATCTCCCCGGGAGGGTGATTGCTGGTTGGTTGCTTCTGCAGACAGTTCACTCTCACTGTGATCTTCTAAAGAACTGTGGCCCTGAGTAGGGGTTTCGGTTGCGTCGGGGTAATGATTCCTGAGTGACATCTGGTAGATTATGAGATCACTGTCTTGCGAGTTGCAACAGCATGATGTTCTTACGGTTCCAGTTCGGTTGAACACTAAGATCCAGATGAATTTGACTTGAGCCCACGGTAAGGTTGACGGAGGTAACCAGCAGCTAGATGAGGGAGGCGGGAGATACTGATTAGTACCACGACTGCACTTGCTTTATATAAGGGTTTCCAGCAGCTAATCTTGGCTGACTCCAAGATGACTTCATCTTTGGTCAGCAGTATTTTTGTGTATTATCGTAGTAGATCGCCACCCAGTTTAACGGATATATCATTTCCTCCCCAACACGAGCCAGAATTGCCGCCGTTGCTGAGTTCAACCGTGGGATTTTTGGCGCATCCGCAAAGTTGCGGCCCGATCTCCGATACACAAGCTTGACAAACATCGACTCAATTTTGTAAAGCAACCGACTCGGATCAGGCAGTACATGCACTGTACTTTGAATTGAGGTTGAGTGGATGGCCCCCGGACAGCGGAGAAGAAAGTGTAGTCTTCAATGGAATCGGCCCGACTTGACGGTACATGGCCTGTTTTCCACTGGGGTGAGGCTTGCGTAATGTGTCGGAGTCTCAATACTTCAGGTTTGAAGCGATACCCGACGGGTGCTGGAGATATGTTGAAATAAAGAGCGCGGTAGATCAGTGCTCTCATCAAGAATATTTAAAGGCCAACTGTTGGGCCGGCAGTGTAGGAGGGGTTACGGAAGGATACCGACAGATGAGTTACAACGGTGTTCGCTTGCACGAGTTGAAAATCAGAGGATTTTGTGTTGGACCATGAGTGACAAGTTTTAACCACGTGAAACGTGAATCACCCAAGCTGTGGCTGGGACTCCGAGTACGGAGGAGGCTCTTCCGCTCCCATCGCCCGCAGACGCTTTACTTCTGCTGTGAGCATCGCAACTTTGCGGTGCAACTCTGCATCTCCGCCTATCCCTCTAGATGCATTTTCTCGAATGCTCGGCTCCCGGCGAGACTGCAGGCGCGCGTGGACCGACCGCATCTTGGCGTTGAGCGCTGCCTTGGAGCTGGAGAATGTGTCTTCTCGGTACGGACCTGCACTGACATCAGTGTACGCTTTGACTTCGGGGGAAGAATCAACTTACACCGATTAACACTCCTTAACACTCCTACGCGCCAGCTGACGTCGGCGCCGACGACGTCGCACCAGGAATGATAGTAATGAGAGCACCAGGGCGATCCCAACGATTGTCCCGACCGCGATAAGCACTGGACGGAATACAGACGCTTTCCGCGTCACCGTGGCGCCCGGCTGGGCTGTCGCGCTGGTAAAGCTGCTCGGAACAATTGCGCTCGCCGTTATGTCTGGGGAGGCAGTCAATTGGGCTGATGCACTGCCGCCAATGCTGCTCGCTGTTTGAGCAGGGCTTATGGGGCTTGCCGTTATCGCTGTCATGCGGGGATTGAGTCAAGATCGTCTAATCGCATTCTGTATAACGGAGTTGAACACACCGGGCGATCCAAAGGCAGACATGGGGGACGGAAGTGCGAGAGAACGGTAGGTCCAGTGGTATGTAGGTCCCTTTAAAGCACGTCAAAGCCTCAAGGACGAAGAATCAAAGGCGTGTGATAGATGAAAATTTGAGTGACCGGAGGGGCCGCCACCAGAGCATGAGAGTCTCAGACCGGACTCGTACTGGTTGAAAGTTGAAAGCTGTGCGCACATACAGGGTCACCAAGCGTACCTCCTCGTCAGGGCGAAGCACGCAGAATTCAGCAGGTGGAATTCCACGTCCAAGACGCACAACGAACATCGTGAAGCCTGTCCTCATCAGAATAACGAGAAGTTTTTTCTTGTCGGTCGCAGACTGAGCTTCTAGCGTGGAATCACGGATATCACCACTATTGAAGCGCTCGTTCAAGCCGAGATTCGGGTTTTGATTTTTGCCTATCACAGTGTCAGGTCGGAAATGCGGGCTGTGAATTGACCTGAAATAGTTCTGTCATAGTTCTGTCTCGTCCAAACGGACAGCCGGAGTTGGATTATCTGGTGCAAGCTTGAACGGGATCCGGAAGCGAGAAGAACAAAGTTCCGTGGTGCTCGAGAGAAGGGACCCACTGCTGATGTGGAAAGAAAAACTCACTCTGGATATTCCGCGGAGCGCGCGACAACACGAGGCATCCCGCCGGTGTGAGATAGCCAGCGATAGCAGACAGCAGTTCGGTTTGGATCGACCAGATAGGCAGGCTAAGTGACGGAGGCGGAACACGGAGTATAATGGGCGAAGAATGAGTTGGAGAAATTTAGAGAAACACACCATGGACTCAGCGGCCGTGCTCCCAGGACATGAATTCTTAAACTTGCGGGAAGTTGCGCACTTCCGACTAGCTTTGCAGCTTCGTTCCTGAGCTGATTGAATATGTGAGTGCGAAATGGACAGCGACAGTTGGCCTGTTGGGTGGATGGCCGGGGCCATGGCCCGTCGGTCATGGCCGACTTACGAAGTCCAGTGACTCGGAGCAGGCTAGCAGCGAGTTCAACGTAGCTCATCCCAGTAGATTCTGGTGACCTGAGGTCACACCGACTTGCGAGTTGCTTGCGAGGCAATCATGTCGAAGAGGAGTCGTGGTCGAGTGTAACGCATTGGTGATGCATGTTTGTCATCGACGCGACCTCGTGACGGCGACGCGGACGCGAGTCGTTCTCATTGTTTTGAGTGCCGACAAAATATCGTTGGCGGCATGGTGGGTTGGAAACTGTGTTTCGATCAAATAATTGTCTAGCAAATCCACGGGCTATTGTGACATTGCAACGGACAGAGGGCTGTTTACGGAATTTTACTCAATGTTGGCCCAACAGCGACTCGGCGACGCACATGCCCGTGCTCTTTGTCTGACTTATCAGAACGCAAGATAGCTTTCGTTTCCACGCACTCCCCCTCGAGAACGAGGTGAATTCACCACGGTGCAATGGACAGAGACTGTTCATCCTCATTTTCCACAAGGCAGCGAGGCATGCTCGTAAGTACTTTGTTTTGTTGAATTGATTTATGGGAAGCAAAAGAGAGCTTCATGCTATGCATTCTTGTCTGAACCCTACATACACAAGTCGCTGCCTGCTGACTTACCTTCACTTCGGAGCGTCCCCGGTTGAGACTTCAAGCACTCCTGGTGCTCTGTCATGACCATCTCTTGTATGAAACTCCACCTGGCTTCCTCTTCTTGGCACAGACATCATCCCAGCACGATATCTACAACCGCCAGTACTTGCCCGTAGTTTAGTTCATTGTTTTGTGCAAATGTGTTCACACCTCATATCCGCCACAGATGTCTGGCTTTCATCTGGGCGTGTAGTATAGGGGTTATTGCGCTTGCTTCGCATCATCACGTGATCCAACGCTGCGAGAGGTCTTGGGTTCGATTCCCAACTCGTCCACCCTTTTGCCTCTCTTCCTGACCGTTTTTGGAGTCCGGGGATGACCCATAACAGTCGCCCAGGGCCCTGGGTACACCATACTATTTTTTGCTTTTGTTTTTGGGCTGATCGGAGGCATGGAACGGAAAGAAACTGTTAAAATGCACTAAGTCGCGATCAAAAGTGGACTTGTGATTTTTTCTCTTCTCGGGGCCCCTTTCACTGGCGCCTGAAAGGCAAAAATGCACTATGTCCCTATTAAAAGCGGACTTGTGATTATTCTGTCGTTCGCGAGTACTCAAGACTTGGAATTTTCCAATCCCGAAGGATTCCGACTCAATCCAACAACTACTCCGTGTTGACTTAGTCTCATGAGCACTGGTCGATGTCCATCAGCACCGCTGTATTCAACGCTCATTCCTATGAATCCTATCGTAGATCGTTCACGGACCGAGATGGCCGCAATGCAAGAGGTGAGCGGGGTTCGAGTCTCGGAGTCGGAGTCGGTGATTTTGGCCTGGTCCAGCCCCTCGGAGTAGGGTTGATCTAACCCAATGAGTAACAGTTATGTAGGGATGTGAGGGTGATGGAGCGAACCAAGTATTTATTTATCGCCGGCTGAATCCGAACGTCCCAGCTCGAGTTTAATTTTGATTTTCTCCTTCCCATGCCCCCGTTCTTATAATTACCTCGGACCCCATCCGTTCCAAACTCATTCCAAGACGCCGCGATAAGAAACGAAGCGATGCACGAAATGGACCGAGATAAATTCGCCGCTATTCGGAGCATACACACGAGTTGGTATGACGATGGAGAGGAGACGGGATTGAACCGTGGGAGTCATGCTTAACACACTAATGCTGGTATCTTTTTGCTCTGGAACGTGCTGCGGTGCCCTATGAAACGAGACTAGCGGGATGTTCGGCTTCGGACGGCGGACTCGCCCAAATTAATGTGAGGTGCCAGGCAAGTGCCAGGGGTCAAATAATCGAGGAATTCAACGGCTGTACTCGTGGATAGCTGTATGTATCCCAGCCGAGGACTCACTCTCACGCCAATGTGTGTCCCCGTCGAAGCCTGAAACAGCGGCGTCTTACCTCGCTTCAGAATATTTTTAGCACCCAGTCGAGTTTAGCGTCGGTCGGACGGAGGTGGGCACGGTGGAATGGAGCGGGGTGCTCGGAATCGGCGTTTCAACTCTTACTCGACTTCGGGCTGTGTCCTGTACGTGCCCGGGCGAATTGGATGGGTATATGGAAGGATATGGGCGGGAGGAATATGTGGAGCGTCTTCAAATGGGATGGTGCATCAGGTACATAACTGTCTGAACCAGTGTGATGCATATGGACTTGCATTGAACCGGCAATGAGTGGACTTGAGTGGAGGTACGAGTGGCTGTACTTATAGAACAAGAGGCAAGGGTGGATAGAAAAGCAAAGTTCGAACATAGAACAAACGTCGCAACTGTCCTTCAAATTCATGAGCGGGATTCAACGGAGCACAAAGGACTCGAGAACCGGGAATCCGAAGGTAACTTGAACTTAGCTAGTTGAACGGATGTCTGATTTTCAGCGGGGTTGTCCCCATTGCATGTGGTAGCACAGCAAACTGAGAGTAGGTTGAAAGATCCTTACTATGTACAAGCGCGTCGCAGAGTTTGATAGACGAGATAAGATACAGAGTTGAAGGTTGATATACATGTACCAATCGGAAACGAGGGTGAGGGTGTGGGTGAGGGTTCCGTATGTAGTTCCGGCTCGCAAGTCGCAGTGTGCAGCCGCGGTGACAAGGCTTGCTCGCTGCCGCATCGAGCGCGAGCAGCCGCGTCACAGAGACAGGGGTTGGTTGCGATTGGGGATGGAGATCGGTACAAGTTAGAATAGCGCGGGCAGCACCGTCTTCTGCTCATGGAGCTCGAGCCTCTGCCTTCGCGCGTCGTTGCATCAGCGACTCTGGGTCTGATTCCGAGATATTTATTGAGGTTCGATACAGGACGCGTGGATTGCGCGCCGGTTCGAGGTACGCTCGCGGCTTCAATTTTTTTTTTTGCGGCACCTGTGTGGCTCATAATGCGCAGTATCGTCATTTGCGAATAAATCCAGCAGTTGGCCAAGTACGTCTGCGATTCGGGAATAATGGTAATGCTATGGAGGTTAGATTACCGGCGTCCTACCTACTCACCTAGACTAAGATTCGGCTTTTTGCTGGAGCAGGTTAGCGTGCGGCGTCTTGCCTCGCCTCCACCATGCCTCCACCATGCTATCTCCCCACTGATTAAGGTTAATTGAGGCTGATTGGGATAGATTGAGGTGAATTCGGTTAAATTCGGAGGAGGAGAATTTGGAGGGGTGGAGGTGTAGCGGTTTGCGGGGGTTGCGGGGCTTGGAGTTGGTTCGTGTTGGATGTAACGAGGACTGCGAGGCTTGGACACTTTTGAGCCTTGGAAGGGTTGAGAGTCTGCGTCAAGCTGCGCGTCCAGTCGCTTGGCGCGTTTGAGTTTTGACTGCCGCCGGTGGACAACGACGCCGGACGCTGTTGCGCAGATGACATGCGCGCGCGCGCTGATTCTGGAGTTGCGGAATCGGTGAGTCAGCGCTAAAATACCGATTTGACGCTCACGGCGTTCGTTGCCCGTGTCCTCTCATCCCCCATTCCCTCCTTCCATCGTCGCTCGAACTCGCAGCAGCGTCTTGAATTTCGAAAGAACGACTTGAGAATAAGGCTTAAGCAACGAGGAGAGGTGAAGAGCGGGTTATGGAGGCGGGCCTTGGCAGTCGAGCCAAGAGCCAAGAGGGCGAGCTGTCAAGCCGCCGAGGCTGTGCGCTAACGTAACGTAAGAATTCTAAATTTCAACTGATTTGGTCCCGCACTGATCGGGGCGCGCGCTCTCCGTTGGTTGCCGTTACGTCTCTGCATTTCCTCTGCATTTTGCGGGGTTGCGGTGTTTCAACGGGGCGGAGTGTAGCAGGGGGCGGTGGATGGAGTGAAGAAGGAGGCGGGGGCAGGGAAGGGGTGCAAGGGGAAGCGGAGGGAGGCAGGGAAGGAACGGAGGAAGGAGGGGAGAGTGGATAAAGCGGGTTTCGCGGGTGAGGATCCCGACATTGTTTGATCCATTGGGCGTCAGGTTTTACATATCCGACAGCCAGGCCGAGCCTTTCCTTACACCTAACGTCTTTCGCCTTACGACTTCCGCTCTTTCTCCTCCTCCTCCTCCTCCCTTACCTTGTCCTCCCTTACCCTTAGCTTATCCTCGCCTACTCTCGCTTTAACCTAACGAACAAGAGAACAAGAGAAGAAGACAAGACAAGAGAAGAGAAGAGGATGGCATCGTCGTCGTCGTCCGAGTCGTACAGCCGCGAAGCAGAGTCGGCGGGGAGTGCCGCGCCGCTCGTGCGTTCCTCGTTTCTTCCTCGTGTAAAGCCAACGCATAGACTAATGGATGCACGGTGTGTGTGTGTAGATGCCCCCAGCAGGCGCGGGCCCCTCACACCTGCGCCCCTTCGCCTCCACCAGCACGAGCTCACGCGCAAGCTCCCAGATGCTCAGCTGGGTCGCGCCCGAGGACATCGAGCCGTTCGATCCTTTTGCGCCTTCGCACAACACCAACCTCTCTTCCTCCCATTCCTCTTCTCCCCACTCCAATTCTCAATCGCCCTCGCATGCGCCGTCAGCGTTCCCCACCACGCACGACCCGCTCTTCGACGCGCCCATCCCGCGCCCGGGCGCCTCCCTCTCTCATTCACGCAACGTCTCCTTCACCTCATTGTCGGGCGACCGTCCCCCCAGCGCGTTAGGCCTGAACCCGCGCGACAGCTCGTACGCTTTGGGGGCAGGTGGAGGGGGGGACAGAGCGTCGACGAGCTTGTCGCTCAACTACGTCCCGTCCAAGTTCTCCCTCGCCCCCGCGGCGGGTGGTGTGGGCCCCCGGGCTGCGCGGCGCCGCCGTCCCTTCCCCCTCCCCCTCCCTCTTTCCCCCTCTCATCCGAACTACAACCCATTAGAGAACATGAAACAGCTCGACATGATGCAAGACGGCGAAGCGAAAGCGCGCGCCCGCGGCGGGGGCGTCGACGCGTGGAAGAAGGGCACGAGCCGCATGCCGGACGATCGGGACGATCTGCATCCGCCGAGGGAGAGGCGCGGGCATTTTGATCGCGCGGATATGGGGGGGAGGTGGACGAGGTTCAAGTGGGTGATGTTTGGGTTTAATGTGGTGGTGCGTCTCTTCCCCTCCTCTTATCCTTCTTCCGCTTGCGTTTTTTTGGGGGGGGTTGTTTTTGTGGACGAAGTAAGGGGGGACAAGGACGCTGATGTTTTTGCAGTACACGGTCCTCGCGCTCGGCGCGCTGATTACGATTCTGCTCATCCATCTGTCTATCCTCCCGGTGAGCCGTGTCTCCGTCTTGGTTTATTATCTCCTTGACTTACGGGTTCCTCGTTTTCTTTTTCGCCTCTCTCTCGTCCTCGTCTTCGTTTGGCCCCGCTCTTCGCCTACTTATCGTCTACTCGCCACCGCCCGGCTCGTCTGTCGCTCCTCGACATCCTGGATCCATCGACGCCGTCGTACTTCGTCTACCCGCTGTCCTCCTGTCTCGCCTGCTAACGCCGTCTTACACCTAACATGCCGAAAACGTCGACACAGCACTCCGCCGTAATCCACACCGCACACCGCACGGAGCTGCTCCTCTCCACGCTCGCGGCGAGCATCGCTTTGTTGACGGCGACGTTGGGGTGGGCTGGTGCGTGTTTTTTCTTTCGACTTTTGAGTTTTGGGTTTTTTTCTTGGAGGGAGGGAGAGGGAGTGGGGGACGGGGACGGGGGCGCGTTTTGTCATCGGGGAGGGATGAGGAGGAGGAGGCGCACGAGGAGGCGCGCGCGTCGCGCGGGCGGCGCTTTACCTTGATGGGGGGGAAGAGCAGGAGGATTGAAGGCTGGCGGAGGCGGAGGCGGAGATGTCGCACTTCTCCTCGTGTGCGCGGACGGAGGGACTCTTCCTCGTGTGGACGAGGATGGGGCGGAAG